ATGGAACAGAATAATCTCCTGCCATTTAATAATCCAGTGTTTCATTCTGAAGCTAATAAAGGATTAAATCGTCTTTCTTTTTGAATTTTAGGAAAGGTCATCGTCTGTTTTCATAAAGTGTACAAAATTTCAATCAGTTGAGAACATTCTCAAACACACAGAGGATTAGATTAAATCCTTCTTAGTTGCCAGATCCTAACTGTAGTCTGCACACCTACCTCAAATGATTATTTCTATATCCCTCAAGTTATCCGATGGGTGTTGATTAGTAAGTGGTGATTATGAAAGCTTCTGACTGCTCAACACACAAGGATGCATCAAACTGCATCGACTCAATAGACTAAATGCCTTGGGACCTTATTTGTTCCAACAGAGTCTAACCTGGTTATTTTGTTGTTGCTCTGCCCCTGTGAGCAACTGCACTAGTCATCATGTCTATTTTAGAGCTTTTCTTTACCTAAAGTGGTGCTTGGTGTAAAAAAAGAAAAAAAAAGACACGATTTACGTCATTACACTGAGCTAAAGCAAGAACGTGGGAGTACTTTTTTGGTGCTGCGATAATTCAAATTAAGCATGTTTCTATCTGGGGTAGAGATATCCTCCTTTTGGAAACCGTGAACGTCTGCGATGTGCTTGGACACTCAGGTGTTCTCACCTCGTGCTTCAGATCAGCAGCTTCGCCACAATGATATTATGAGCCTGGTGGAGAGCTGAAAGAAACAGCAGTTCAGCACAGACCGTATGTTGGAGCAGGCAGCAGCTGTGGCTCCATCTTTGTTTTTGTCCCTATGTCTGATCCTGCAGACCTGTTAAAGAATCACACAGTCCACAACAGGACATGGAGAGGGCCTCCCACACGCTAATCTGCAGCTATCCAAGCCTTACTGAGTTTTACAAACTCAGCATCACTCCAGCCCACATAAATCTAACAACTAGAAGACATCTATTTTTATATATATATAAACACCAGAATTTAATTCTTTCTTTCTTACATTTTATCAAAATGTAAAACTGAAATAAAGCTAAAAATGATTTTATTTTGAACCTTTAGTGTTTGAGTGTTAAATATTATGTACTATTCTATTCAGACCCTCACATTGTGCGGTCCTTTAATTACCTTTAGTGATGCATTTGAACTGTTCTATGAGAACTGATGGTCTAATTAACAACTTCAATAGTTTTTGAAGACAAGACTTTGCAGAAAAAGTTTGATTGTCCTCAAATCCGCACAAGTTCAAAATGGTATAATGTCCCACTACCTGGATAAATGTTCCATTTGCAAGCTGCAGAAAAAAAAACAGATTGTGTTTCCTTCAGTGAGGGCTTGGCATGATTCTGCATCGACGGTCAACCTCTTTGTTTTGCACTATCGATAAAGTCTATTTTAAATTATATTCCTGGCAAAGACATCCCTAAAAGTCATTCCAAAACCTTCATGTTAGAAAGCTCTATCTATTCAAGATGAGATCATTGAGATCATTGTCTTGTTGGAATGCCCCGTTGTGTCCATGTTTCAGGCACCAGACCTAAACGACCTCTGACAAAAGGAACCACTAACACGAGACACTATGAAATGGGTAAAGTTGGAACTCCAGCATCCCTGTCCACAGTGAAACGAGTTTAACATTAGAGTATGGACTGACAGGGGGCTGACCAAGTTGAAGCACCAAGTCCAAAACTTTGCACCTTCAAGCTCGAGTGGCATAAGAACAAAGTACATTTAGTAATGAGGAAAACATCAGGATTGGATTTCTTGCTTGAAGCACAAACTGGTGACAAAAACAGTTAAACTTTGTGAATGATGTTGAAATATTAAAGTGGATGCATTTAAAAAATAATAATACATTTAGAAGAGCACTCGAATGGCAGCTAAAGAAACATTTGTGAGACTGCAGATGTTTTGAGAAAATGAAGTTTGACATCAAATGTTCCAGATATTGTTTAGTGGCTGCTGACAGTTTATATTTTTTAAACGTAGAATATGTCAGAAAATGGATTGCCAAAGCAACAGCAGCACAGAGTTTTTATTGAAATGACTGTCTGACTTTGTTTCACAATGCCTTTCAATTGTCTGCAGAAGGGACAATTATTTTAATCAAGACGAGAGACTCTGTACATTTACATTTTAGTTCCAGAAGTGTGCATTGGAAATCTAATGTGAGACAATAAGGCTAACAAAATGAATAAGAGTATGACCTCCAAAATTCAACAAACAATGCAATTACATTTGCAGGATTACATTCATGCACTTATGTTCTAGTGGAAAACTTTCACAGTAGGACATGTGTCAAAGCATTTCTTCTCCTCAGAAAGTCACGGCCAGATGTCCTGAAGTCTGGTCCTTGTGTTAATTGCTAGATCTAGGAATGTGGCAACACGCCTCAGATGAAGCGGAGCTTGCAAACATCTCAGTTTATGCTTCCTGTGTTTTCATACAGGAAGCCTGGAAACAATGAGAAATCTTTTGTCTTTTGTTTTCTCTTCACAGGAGGTTGTTCAAAGAATTGTCAGTTTTAGTTAGCTTTAGCATCCCTTCTTATTTATTTAACTTTGTACTTCAGCAATTTAATTCATGGTCTCTGGGTTGTCTTTGATCAAAACATCAAGGCTGAAGATACCCTGGTGGAAAAACACCTGAGATGTCCCACATGTTTATCTCACTGATGTTGAACAGACTCACATGCACAGTGATCAACATGCAGCAAATCGCATGGCACAAGTCCAACTTTTGATTCTCTTCATTTGTGAGAGGACAGGGTATAAACAACGCACACTGATTGCACTCACTCCGATGTCCATCACCAATCCAGACACAATGGAGAACAAATGCGTGGTTCTTGATCAAAGCTTCAAAATATCCACCCAGAATCTATTTCCATGTTGTTTCATGACTGATGATGAGTTTTGGCAGAGAGATTTGTTATAGATGCCGCCAGATCTTAGACCATTATTGTAATTAAGGTTTCCACCAAGATGTATTGTTATTGTTTTTCCTGCTGGGCACATTGTTGGGTCTATAGGGGATTACTCACTCCACCTTATTTAAATATGCAGGCACAGCTGCAGCACAGAAGACAAAGTGTTTAAAATATTAGACATTTTGAATGAGACAAGTAGCAGCAATCTTATGTTTCCTCTATTGTTTCAGGCAAGTAACGGTATTGTAGAGGTGACTTCTGGCTCTTGTGTCCCCTCAGTTTTATAGGATTTGAATATTAGCAATTTATCAGATCTATACCTCTTGTAAATCCATTCTTTCAGCACCAAAGTTGAGCTCACAATGACATCAACAATAATTTGCAACCCTGGCTAAAGTCTCTCCAAAATTCATCTTTGAAAGGAAAATAGGCCCAAAGCATCACACATTTTTCACCATACTTCACAGTGAATATGACTTTCCAAACATTTATCTTTTAACACTAGATCCCGCTTCTTTTTAGTTAAATGTGGGTTATGACTCAAAAATGCTATAAAAAGTCTTACTGACAAATCAAATAAAAGAAACTCTGTTGATCATATAATAGAGACTCATTTCAGTTGGTTGGTTGGTTGAGAGTTTGGTTCTGTCCTTCATGATAAGCGTTTTATCCATCCATCCATAATCTTAAACACTTATCCCTAGTGAGGTTGTGAGGGGTACTGGTGTCTATCTCCAGGGGTCATAAGACGTTCATGTTTTATGTAAAATCACTAATTTAATTTAGACTGTACTGAAGCTCTTCAAATGATTTATGTGAAGTTACCCTGGAAGGACACCCTTTTTGTACATCACTGACACTTTTACCACAGTAACAAACTGTGACCCACTTACCCGTTAAATTCCTTTTTGTCCCCATTTTCCCAATAAACTACAGAAAGAGAAGGAGGAAAGAAGAGAAGCCAAAGGGAGGAGGGGAAAAGGGAAGCGCACCACGCACAATATAATGTATTGTACATGGACCTCTGGCCAACTATAAATAAAAGTGTCTGTCTGCTGAAGGTCAGAAACTTCTTGCTTTTTCCACAAACGCCTCTCCTAATATCTGGTAGCTTGTCACAATTATTTAGTCCAGATGGGCTCATTATCTGCCAGCTCCATGGCTCCACTTGTTCACTGTCAACCTTGACTTTTCTGTCAGGACTCTAATTTCCAGGAAGCCAGATCTCTTTCACCCCGTTTTCTGCCCTCCACTTTCCTTCCCAGTGATATATTGATCCAGACGAGGGCCACTTACGCCGCTCTCCTCTTCCAGGCCCCATTGTGACCTAAATTCCTCCCCTTACAGTCATTAATTAGCTGTTGCAATTCTGGAAAGTAGGAGTATGAAAGGGCTTGTTATAGGACCCATCACTAAGGGGGGATTAATCAAACACAGACATGTGGGATCCGTTTTTTTGGATACTTCCACAAACAGTCCAGACAAACAAAGCTTCTATGTTTCCACCTGCAACTTGTCCTCCAGGTGTTACATTCAGACACTAAATAAACTCACCACCTTCATTTAAACAGTTATAATTTTCAAATGAGCATTATTAATCATTTGGATACAGATCTTTTGCTTGCTTATTAGGATAATTACACAAAATGTGCCAGAAAAACCTTCAGGCTTGATCAGGGTTCCAAAGCACAAAATGAACGAATGCGAGTGTTTCCAGGTTTGGAAACGTATGGGAGAAAAAAATCTTCAGTAAAAATATATGGATTTACATATTAATCTTTTTATTCCATTGTGTAAATCTTGCTATATCTTTCAAACAAATCACTGGGATAACATTTCAGTCTATAATGTTTCATATGTAGAGACTATTCACAGTAGAAACAATTTGTCTACAGAGAACTTTTGGACTTAAAGTATAAAATTAAACTAAGAACTAGACTCCATTAGATAGTCATCATTTTAGCCATCAATCAAAGCTCTTTTTTTCTTTTTCCAATGGTTAATACAATTTTATACTACAAATAATTAAACTGCTTAGGTACAATGCTATCATATTAAACTTAAAAAAGGAAGAAAAAAATCTTAAAGAGAAAAGAAAAAAGTTTATTAATAACATCTGATCAATCAAAACGAATATATAGACAATATTCTGTAGGCTCGTTAGTAAACAAACATCCTCATACAATCTCATTTTTATTAACAAGAGCGTAAAACAAGTGCATGATAAGTAATTTTCCTCACATAGGTCATCTAAGGCGTTTTATATTAACTTCATGGCAGGGCTCCATTCATTACTTCAGCAGCTGATTCATTACAATGACCCATTTAATAAGGAAGTGAAATGTTGATCCGCCTGCCAAACAACAAGTCATTGTGCAAGGCTTCAAAGAAAAAAGAAAGAAGAACGCAAACATCATCATCTCATTGGTAACCAGCAACAACATTTTTTTCTTTCCAGTGTTCACATATTCACAACACATCTATAGTGTTTATAACAGGGGTTGTCCTGTTTTGTAAGGCTGCAGGCACTGGTAGCACCAGTAGTGAATATTACCCCTTTAAAGAGTGTGTTTCAGGGTAGTGTACAGTATCAGGGGGTGAAATAAATCATAATACTTGGCGTGAACATGCTTTCGAGTTTGATATTACCTTAGTGTTGGAATTCTTATGGTTATGGTTCATACAAGGGCCATTACCTTTGTATTTATACAAGTATTTAAACATGTCCATATTGGCTAGGAAGGTGCCTAGCAAATATGTCAAGATCAAAAATGTGTGTAAAAACAAATTATTATAATAGTCTGTCTGCAGATTAGATGAACTTCAAAGTCACATTGTCTGCTGCTATGTCTGATAGATTCACGCCAGAACACAAACTGTCTGAGCAGCCAACGGGGAAACTCGTGCTTTGAAGTGGACCTCCATCATTAATTCCCCCTGCAAGTCCCTGGTACGTCGGGAATAACAAAACTGTGCCGATAGCCGTCACTGGACAGTCTACTGCTTGTTTTGTGCTGCATTCCTAAGTTTGTGTTACTTGAAAAGCAATTTGTGTCCCTTTTGTTAAAAATATGTCAGGGAGAAAATGCATACATTTTATGTTAAGGCAGAGGTTTCTGGGTATTTTATTTCCATAATAACATTTTGCAACACCTGCCCGTGTCCTTAAACCTGGAGTGCATGTTGGCAACAATTGTCAAAACTTTTTCTTATTCACAGGATGAACAGCTTTTCTGATACAATTTTTGGTCATGTGCTAAAGTTAGCATATATCTGTGTTAATGCATCAGTTTTGACAAAACATAACAAAATTCCTGAACAGTTTGTGCTCCGACTTTTTATGGTGACCCAATCAATACTTCCATGTATAAATCATTGTTATCTATATTAAGTCAGGTAAGCTCCAGATGAAACATCTCTGATCTGCTGTATGTACATTTATGTACTTTTCCTTGCATGATGAAGGGATAAAATGTAAAGAAATAAAGCAATAACTTATCATTTTAAGCAGTGGTTATTTTCTTCTTTCGAACAACAGCAACTCTGCCTCAAGAAGAAACAATTTTAGATTTACATCAAATCCTTATTGTAATGCAAGTTTCACTGTTAAGCATGAAAATAGGAACAATCAATGTAGGTAACTTAAACAGAGAAACAATATAAATATAAATAACTGGTCTTTAAAGTAGCCTGAACTTCTGAGTTTCATAATCTAAACATATAACATTACTTGGTCAACTCAAATTATATCCAGCAGTCAAATAGCTTGGTGCAATTTGGTTCATGTTTGAAAATAAATGTCATCATAACTTGTGCCTACCAAACTACAATTGAATGAAACTAGCTAAACTTAAAAACTTGTAGAGCTCCATTGATTTGGTTCCATGAAGTACTGTTTTTTTGTTTGTTTTTTATGTTTCAGACCCCTTAAAAAAACTAAACAAACAATAAACAACCAACATAAAACCACTGCTTCATCATTGTCTGGGAGGGTTAAATGTTTTGAGACACTCTTACTAGCCTGGAAATACAAATATTTTCAGGTAGAATTAGGCAGAAAATGTCTTCCTTCATGCCTCAGATCTTCTCGATTTAAAATGTGTGTTTGAGGTTTACATTTTGGTACATGACCACAAAGAGGAGCGCTTTCTTTAAATAATCATTGTAAACAGCGGTAATGCACAGGAAAAAAAAAAAAGAACAATAGACAGTGATTTCCTGACTACTTTAAACCTAAAAGCTAAACTAATAGTCAATCATGACAGAATCAACCTTTTTCTTAACATTGCCTCAGTAATGAGTATTTCACAGAAATACGAGTTTCTTCACTTGTCCTTTCATCTTCCACTGAACAGCTGTGATTCACATAAAGCTTTAAGGAGTTCACATCAACTATATCTCAATATGAGAGATCAGCCAAGGAAAGTGGATTAATTGGGATGACCTGTTGGCTATTGCTCAGACGGGTGTTTTCTTAATGGCTTGTTTGAAACAGATTTGTAGGCGTCCTCCGCTGCTCTTGTGGGCTGAAGGAGATGTTCGGAGGCTCCCCGCTGAGGAATCCTTTCTCCTCCCGTTCTTCATCCTGAGAGTAAAAGGCAAGAGTTAAAAATGTTATGTTCTGCAGATTAAGTGTTGTATACGAATGTCAGAACCGTCTTATTTAAATAAATCCACCTCCTCAAAGCTGAGGCATTATAGGGCCTGGCATCAGAATGAAGTCCCAGATACACTTAGGTATACAGCTACTCTACAAGTTATTCAGCTGCTTTTTTATAAATTATTTCATATAAATGTATTGTTTACTTAATTTTTTTCTACAGCAAGAGAAGTTGTGTCAATAACAGTCTAAATTTCAAAATGTTGGAAAAACTTTTTATTTTTAATTAAAATTTGTCCACAAGCATCCTCATTCCAAACACTTAAATTTTCACTTCATGGTGCATGTTCACATTATTTATTGACTGTATCTAAGAAAATTAAATGTAGCTTGAATTTAACTGAAGATATGACATAATACCATATATCTAACAAACAATAAAATACAATGACTTAAATCTTATTGTATAGACTAGGTCATCAAATCAGTCTGTCAACTACGTTGCCTGTAGGGATTTTTAATATCCAACAGGTGTCAGTATTCAGTGACACTGTATCAACACAGTATCAATACAGTTTAGCAATGGCTCAAATTGCTTCTTGACGCCTCATTTACCCATCACTACTTCAGCAGAAACAATGAGTACACAGCGTAATAGAAAGTGAAATTATAATTTTAAAGGAAACAGTTCAGCACGTGAAGCATGTTTCAAAAGAACAGTGATTAAAGAAAGGGATGCTCCAGAGTCATTACTAGAACGCCACACCGTGTCAGCTGTCTCCTCCCCTTCGGTGTGCTCCCCGCAGTGACCATACATCTCCACATCAGAAAGTGCACTCTCCAATGCTTCCTCTTCATAGTCAGTCTGATAGTCTGACTCTTCTGAGGAGGGGAAACAGTGGAGGAAGCAGGTTGTAGGTGAAAAAGAAAAGATTGTGTGAACTGAGGACAAGAAACATGCAACTGATTTAAAATGTTTAAAACCATGTAAATTCAAATAGTAACAAAAGACAATGAGGATTAAGAGTAGAATTTATCAGCTCATGTAGATATATATATTTTTTTTTTGTATAAAAATGCCTGATTTGAAGAATCAAAACACATTTTTCTTTTCTTCTGTGTGTCTACTTTCTCATTAAGACATAACAATAAAAAAAATATTTTTTCTGTGCATACCCAATTCTAATGGATACAACAGTTAATTTGGTCTCAGCAAAACATGTCAGATAACGGATTAAAAAAACAAAACAAAAAAACAAACAAACAGAAGAAGTGTAGAGATGTAAAAGATCCATCTGCCAGACAGATGTCAACACGTTTTTAGAAGAATCATGATGTGTTGCTGAAAGTGGCAGTGTTGAATTATGTGTCAGAAGTTTTACCATCCACCACCGCAGGCTTGACAGGCTCGATGCGAGACACGATTTCTGCAAGGTCAGTGAAGGAAGCATTGGGACATGTCACCACCTAAAAAAACACACAAATTCAACTCATAAATAGCAGAAATTGTGTTTAGCTTCTTTTTTTTTTTTTTTGGACCAGATATTTTAAGCCTCAAACTGTCATATAGCCCTCAGCCATTTTTTGGTAGTTTAATGTGTCATGCATGGAATAAATTTGACCGACAACCTGATGACAATGCATCTCCGTTTTGTTTTGCGCTCAGAGTCCTCATTTGTCACTCAAAGCTTTCCTGACCAAAATAATGCACAACTTTAAGTCATAACTCAATCCAAAGGAGTTCAAGCAGGAAATACCTAATTGATACAAATGTATTTGCTGGAAAGCACAGAAGTAAGGATCAGGACTGGAAGATAAAACAAGTCAACTTCCCAAAGATAAAATGAACAGAAACTCTCAGCTATGACTTTAGTGACTGGGGAACAGAGAAGCTCATTTAAGATAACATGCATGGATCACTGCATCTGTTGTTAACAAGAACTGTAATCCCTCATCTTTGTACTCCATCTGCAGGTTCCATCTGTCTGTGCAGCAGGAAAGTGGTATATAAATCCAATGGAGTCTGCAAAAAGCTCTTGCAATCATGTCACAGTGAAGCGAGAGAAAAATATTAACACCGTTTGAATATTTTTGCTAGATTTGGGCTTTCCTTTCTTTTGTTATTTTTTGAGACAATCACCATTCTGTATGCAAACATCTAATTTTGAATACATAAATAAATAAATATTTGTCCCATTCTTTCAGCATTTTGCCAATTCTTACCGACCTAAATTAAGAAAAGTGTGGTCTGATTTAATTTCAGACACTGGGCAACATGATTTTTAAAAGGGAAGTCGTGCATTATTTCTCTTGAGTTACATCCTACAAGACAATCTGAAAATAGCAAGACATCATTAAATGTCTGTGTGGGAAGGCTGTTGTTTTAAAGAATAAAATGGGAGTTGGTCAGAAGACAGCATCACTGTTCAAATCTGAAATCCTAACAATAGTTCCATTCTTGCCTCCATTTTTAAATAAGGTGCATACATTTTCTGCTGTTTTGTAGTATTTAACATGTCAATTCTGCTCTCATTTTATTGCACACGGAACTGCAACACTTTAAAGTTAATTTGTCACTGTCTTATTTTGTTTTGTAAGGAGGTAGCCTTTTCTAAATATTGACAGAAGTCAGATCCAGAGAGGATTATTTTTACTTCAAGAGTGGGACTTAAGTCAGAAACTGGTTTCCATTAATGATTTTTGTCTGAATCTAACAAATTTCACATTATTTAATTGAAATGTTTAATTGTGATTATCTATACTTGATGAAACAAAGAAATATCAAGAGGACAATGCAGACACCACCATGATTCATTGTGGGAACATTGTTTCATGCTTCAATAAACATTTTTAAGAAATTTTCAGCAAGGAGAGAGAATGTTTTCTTACTTGTGCAAAACTAATATAACTATAGAATGTTCATTTTGCTGCAGAAAAGACATAGAAGTTTAACCTCCATTGTTCCAAATAAAAACTAATGTATCACAAATTTAGTGTGTGTTCCACACAGTCATCACTTCCCATGCTTACATTGCTTTTGTTTTGGGTCTTGCAGGTCTCCTCTTGGTGCCTGTCTTTCATCATCTTCTCCACGACGCCACTCCGCCTCCACACATCAAACACGGTTTTGCCATGCTGGTAGCCCACTTCCTGCAACACACACATGTTCACTGATCTGAAAGAATATATCATAAAAACCCACAGGGCAATCTTAGGATTGAAAAGAAACTAGATTTTACAATCCATAACCATTAAAGTGTTAGATTGAACAAAAAGCCAAGTGTGTCTCAAACTTACAGCTATCTCATCGAACTTGCCAAACTCCAGAGTCCGATATCTGTCAATTGGCGGCCTGATGTACTCGCAATAGTCGCTGCTTTTAACGGACTCCAGGTGCCTCACGCAGCATACGTAAGCCAGCCGGGTCTGAATCTCTGCCATGTTCAACACCTGTTGAAATCAACTTACAGCTCAAACGAAAACAACCCAGCTCCATAAATATCTTCATTGTTATTCATAGATTTGGTTTATTTCTTGGGAACCACTTCCCACCGTTTGTTGGGTTTTTATTTATTAATCAATTCATCACCTTCACTTTCTCTGCGAGGGGGTTCAGCCGTTTCCATAGCACCCACCAGCCTGAGAGCGAATCCCCGTAATTAGTGAGGTTGGTTTCATCCCGGCTGCCCACGTCAATAGCTATAACCACCTTGGCCCCCATGGAGCGCGCCACATCAGCTGGGAAAATTGAAGGTAGCCCAACACATATAAGAAACACATCTTGCGGTACAGAAAGAACATTTGTAATATGTTCTGAGAGGGTGAGCTTAACAAACCAGGGAGGTTGTTGATGTAGCCCCCGTCCATCAGCAGGTGTCCGTCTTTGGGGTCACAGAGAGGGGGCAGATATCCTGAGAGAGACATGCTGGCTCGAACGTACCGCCACAGAGAACCTAAAACAGCAAACAGGATATTGGATATGAATTTATTGACTAGTAAACATGTGCAAAAAGCCTCAATATTAAGTATTCCCTGAAAATAAATTCACTTAATAAGAGCATCTTGGAAATTATAATTTGTAAACCAGACCGATGTCCGATGATCTTAAATCAAGAAAAGCTAAAACTTCCCGACACTTCATCAAATCTACAATTAAACAAATAAAATATATTTAGAAAATCAAGTGAAACTATGACAAATAAAACATTATTGCATAGCAATAATGTAGGGATGCTGGTAATTGTGCTGGCCACAAACTGTGTTTAAAGCAAAAGCCACTAAACTCGAGTTGGATATAATGTTTTTAAGTAAATACAGATTAAGCCTCCTTTGTAGGCATTGCTGAATGAAGAACCATTTTCTGAACTTTTGATCTGGATAAATCTCCAAGCAAAGAAGACCTAACAAATCAATAAAAAAAGAAGAGAAAAGGAGAGAGAATCAAACACACAAATTCAATACTTGCCATCAGTATGTACTCTCATGGCTGAAGCACTAATGTCAGTAGTAATATTAAAATATGGGATCCAAAGGTCCTGCATTTAAAAAAAAAACAATAATAATAATCAGAACAGTATAAAATAACTTATAAGATATATATTTCCTTTTTCTAGCTCACCTCAATCTGTTTGCTTTCAAACACTTTACTGATGCTGGAGTTGAAGCCAGCACCAGTAAACATGGAGGACATAGGATACGTGAAATCCCAAACCTTCTTAAATGTTGAGGTCATTTCCTTTTGGAAAAAGAGCAAAAGACATATTTTTATTAAGTAATGACAGTATTTGTCTTGCCACAAGGAAATGTTTTCCTTTTTTAACTCACTACTTTACAAACCATCTTTTTGAAAATTTTCTTTTTAACACCCAAGATTGCCACTGCTTTTTAGCAAAACACACATCTAGATTATATGAAAACACATAAAAAAAAGGTCAGGAATAAAAACTGTCTTTGAAACCTTGCCTGCAGTCTGCTGTCTCTAGGATTAGATGAAATGTTTAAAAAAATATATCTTAAAGAGTGAGGGATTTTCAGTTCACATTAGCAGGGAGTAAAAACTTTCCTCAGATTTCTTGTATGCTACTTTAATCGGTTAATTTGAACAACCTGAGTCAACGAAATTGTCCTCCTAAGTTCAAATATACTAGTTATCTGAACAAAAGGTTTAAACACTATCAGTCACACCTGCAGCAAAGATCATTTTAAAAAGTCTAAGAGCCTTGAACAACATCTTACTGCAACAGCTGGTAATTACAAAAGTTCTTGAAACACTTAAAACGATTGAGGTTTTTGATGTTGTGCTTGCACAAAATAAGAAAAAAAGCTCCTGTTACAAAATAGTATAAATATGACCATGTTTCTTTAAAGCACTGAATTAATCGCTTGACTGCTATGCATCAGCTGCCTTGTTAAAAATAGTAATACGCTATAAACAGTGAGCAGAATGTTGGTAAATGAGTCGATATTTATTGCACTAACAGAAGAAAAACACAGGTGGCTGATGTTGAATATGTCTCTTCTATATGTTTATTTGCATCTAAAGTACAATTTGAATATAAAGTCATGGAAAAAGGTTTCATGGAACCCCAGATGCATGAAAAAGCTCATCATGTAAATCAATGTACGAAGTAATAAGAACAAAGGTAAAAATAGCTGGACCAGCAGGGAGTCTGAACTGCTTTTTTAAATTTATTCAAATGAAATCTTTACCAGAGGTGCCAATAAATGTGACCAGCAGTTTAGCAGTGAAAAAAAATTATACTATAATACAGGAATCCTATATACAGTGTTAAATATTATTGTATGACTGATGAAGCCTGGCTTATGTAGATCGGTCTCACCATTGCCCATTCTCTGGCTCTAATCCTCATGCGGCTGAGGCTGCGCTCCTCAGCATACAAAGCCCCCATCAGCGCTCCAATCGAAGTCCCACCGATCAGGTCCACCGGGATGCCGGCCTCACATAGCGCTCTCATGATCCCCACTTGGGAGCAACCCCTGATTAGGAGATGGAGAAGATGAAACAGGACATTGACTGCCACGTGTTGGGTAAAAAGACTGGTTGAGGAACTAGTTTACCTGGCCCCTCCCCCTCCGAGGACAAGAGCGATGGCATTACCCGTGAGAACACGAGCCAGACGGGAGAAGTCAGAGTGACGGTCTGCAGGCTTCTCAAACACACGCTGGTACAACTCCAACTGCAAAAACAGCAAAGACGCGAAAGTTAAGAGAAATGAGTGAATAAACGATGACGATAATGTAGACTGAGAGCACTGAAGCGCAGCTGGGCCAAATTAGATTACGCAAGATGCTCCGATAGATGAAATATTCCAACCAGCTTGGGGAGGCTCCTCTTAGAGAAGACCCTTCTGGGACAGGAGAGGTGGAGGTGCCTGGAGATCCAGCTTCGCATGTTCAGCCAGTTCACAGTTCCTTGGGGAGGAGGGCCATCTTCTCGGTGCAACAACACCAGCTGCTTCTGGGCCCGCACTGCACTTCCTTCTAACATGCGCTCCAGCTGAGGGAGGGAGAGAGCCATTGCGAACAGATGTTTCAGAACATTTTACATTTGACACTTTTTCCTGTGTGATGTCGGCACAGATGGACAAACACTTGATGAAAAAAAAGTTCTGAAAACTTGGACATAAACAGGCAGAAGTAGCATTTCTGCTGGTAAATTGTCAAAAAGAATGAATCTATATGATCGATCTGTAACAGGTAATCCTTAGATACTGCAGTTTCCTACATCAGCCCAAAACCACACGTTATGACTGACTTTTTTTAAAAACATTTAATGCCCCAGCAAATTTAAAAAGCATGCTGCCCACCATGTGATTTTTCCCTTTATCTAATCAACTCCTTAATGAACACTTTGATTAAAGAAAACAAGATAATAGCCCGATCAGATTATTAGCAAATTACCCCCTTCTGCCTCTGCTGAAGATAGTGTTAAGATCAGGATGTGATTTTTTATTTTTTTTATTTTATAGAGAAGGTGTTTGCCCCCACAGATAAAAACCAAGCCAAAGATATGACTCTCTGAATTTGGATAAATATTGATCCATCTTTCAATTTCTGCTTCAATTTCCTGGTTAGCAGGGGCACATTCTTTTTTTCTGCTCCCCTTTAGAGATTACCTCTCTTCCGTCAGTCCTACATTTTAAAACATTGACTCTCTTTCACAGCATCCATCCAATCTTTGCTCATTTCTCAAAGGGTTATGGGTTAAACACAAGTCATCCTGAGCCGATTCAGCCATTACAATGGTTAAACAAGAAGACCACAACCTGATTGGACTGAATAATGATCAGAAGTGGCCTTCATATTACATTAGACAGACATCGATGGTAGAGGTAATTGTTATATAAAGATTTTTTTATATATATAAATCCAGAAAATTTCAAAAGATGACATGAAGCAAAACTGAGGGGGAGAAGCTGTCCTAAACTGTCCTTTGACAAGTTGTGTTACTACTATTTTAAAATATCTACTCGCAGATAAATAAATAAAAAAAACATATGCAAAGTAAAGCTGCTACCAAAAATCTAGAGCACTGAGCACTTCTAGAACTAAGACTTAGTATAACCAACCTTTACACTCAAACAACTTTGATTCTTTAGCGCACTGCTTGCAAAAACAAAGTCAGATGAATAATTCTGAGGTGCAGATTATGTTGACAAAATTAGTTACAATTTGAACACAATGTTCTCCATCAGTGGAGCTCAGACAACTTTAACTTATGAATGGTAAGATGTTGAGTGTGAAAGGTTCAGTTCTGACTGGATAACTATTAAAGTAGGCAATAAGATGATTTCACTCTAATTACAAATTACTATTTTGAAGTTGCTCTTGTTGGAAAAACAATTACAAAACAGACATTACACTGGAATACAGATAATTATTTAAAAAAAGCTATTAAAAACACTTTTTGCATGCATCAGTCTGACCTCCATCTTTTGCAGTCAAGTCTTTCCATCTCACCTCCCCAACAGCAGGGTCTTGCTCCCCAAGTCCCACAATGATGATGCAGTCAGCCTGACGGATGCACCGCTGAGTCCACGGGGTCAATGTGTAGTCGGTTTGGTACAGAACTATGCGATGTATGTCTTCTTGTTGGCCCAGCCAGCTGGAAAGTCGGTACTCATGGACACTAAAGACAAAATAAGTCCATAAATAAAGGATACAGTAGATATATATATTTTTTTTTGCCTCTGGTATCAATAAAACAAGTTTAAACATAATTAAAAGAACAACAGCAGTACCAAAGGAAATATATCTGACACATGTTCTGGAAAAACCTAAGATTTTACAAATGTAAATATGAAACTCTCAAACTTTAGTTTTGATATTAACATACCTATCCAGTGCTGCAGCTCCAAGCCTCTGCTTGATAATGTCACTTGTTAGCAGAAGAGTGGGTCCTGCATGAGATCAGATTACATTTACCCAATAAATGTCTTCTCAAAGCAACTTCTACAGTAGATCCCAGAAGACTACAGGCCCCCTGTTCAAACTGAATCTTTTCCATGACCTTGTTCATGTTTCTTTGGGAGAAGAGAATCAGCATGCTGCATCTCATCGTGGCAATATTCAACCCGAGTATCTCACAAAGGTTCTTCTGATCTATCAGGTGAATCAGATTAATTTAAAACGACTGAATTATTTAAACGTTTATCTTAAGAGTTTGCACATTTATGTAACAGGTTAATCGCAGCTTTAATTCTTTTTGCATTTTTCCTAATTGATATGTTAAGCAATTCACAATTTTTACATTAACTATACACATGTGTGTCCATTTAATTTTTTTCTTCAAAGACTTAAAAGTTGAAAACTTTAAACTATTAAAATAGTTTAGCTACATGTTGCATACAAAGCAATGGAGTCACCAAAACAAATCTGTCTTAACATGCTCAGACGCAGCTCAAACCAGTGTAAGTGGTTAAAAGTCATTAACAGTCCATTGTCAGTAATCCTAACTAATCGTGTTCCTAAGGCTTTGTTATATACCGTATACTGGAAATCTCCTTGGCGAAACAGCCACCTGTTTTCTTTTCTTTTTTGTTATCTTCACATAACAAGATTTATCACAACAGTTTTCTGATTCAAGTGAAAGATTTTCTTTCCAAAAAGACTGACTTTATGTCTTCCCCTTTTCTCTTTAATTTCAATTTATCAACAAGTAATAACAATAGATGGCACGGCTTAATTTTAATACTTTGGAAGGACACTTACCTGTAATGACATACGAGTAAAATGAAAGCATCATGTCGGTGTGACCGTTGTCTTACCTACAGCAATGAGGGCATGCTGCAGCTCCAGGGTGAATGTAGTCAAAGGCACCTCTTCTGATACAGGCAGGACTGTGACAGTAGAGAGGTTGGAGGCTTGATTCCCCGCATCCCACTTGCTCCCTGGAGTGTGGAGTGCCAAGCTACGAGCTGAACAAATCGTTAAATTTTAGGCACGTCCCTCAATTAAATAAAAGAAAAAAAGCATTGACAAAACTCAATATCTAAGCAACTAAACAATCAGCATCACCATTGGTGTATTGTAACATTATGAGAAAGTAACATCATAAACCAAGCACACACCTGAAAGAGGAACATTGACCTGCTGAAGAATCTTTTGACCCAACAAATGGATCAACCTTGTGACGACCTATGAGATCAAAATGTTTTATAACCATCAGGAAAACACTGAACTTGCACATGTAGTAGTTTAGATCATGAGTACCTGTGGGAACCTCCTCTTGATGGAGTTGAGCGCCCCCTCTGGTAACTTGGCCAGTTCTGAATCTCGAACAGCGTGGACAGTCGTGGCTCGGTTCTGGTGGGTCAAGGCCTCCACCTGTAGAGACATTTGTTGCTTTATACCAAATCCCCACAAACTATGTCACAACTGCTGTTTGCTATGTCTTATCTTTTTCAAAGACGATTAGTGTTTGGAATGGTGTAAATATGGTGTAGTATAGAGGTTCATTACTCACGCTGACTTTTCAAAGTGGCAAACACCAGAGAACTTGTCATTCAAGTCAGGCAAAGTACTTTGATCTTCAAGTGAAGGAAATGTTTCTCTCCAAAACTGATCACTACAGAGTATAAAAATCTAAAAACAACTTGAACTGAGAAACGAGGTTCGTTTTTGCACTACTTGCAGTAAGGAATGCAAAACTCACTGTTGGAGAGTAGCAAATGTTTCAGAGTCAGATTATGCAATTTAATTAAAGCTAAATGCTTCAAGGGTTTTTGAGCATTTTTTACTCATAACTGTGGAGCATCCTGTGAATCATACACTTCCTTACTTTCACATTAGCAGAGAAAAGCTCTCCACTTAGGTCAACCAAGCACTGCTTGTTTGGTGCAACAATAATGACTCTGTCTTCACAAAAATGTCACTGCTAATAAAATGTCTTGGTGTGCTTTAGTGTACGCTTTCGGTTTGCCCAGAGCTTGAACCCTCTTCAAATCTATAAGAGGCGTGGGCAGGTAGCCTATTTGAGCTAAGGTCTATAACTCACTTAAGCAAGTTAAGGGGGTGCCGAAGCACTTTATCCTTGCAGCATTTAGACCAAAGCAAACCACAGAAATTGCATTAAGAGTGCAGGAAATTATTCAATTATTATGAAAAATAAAAACTGCATTATTCAGGTCCTTCAAGATATAAATCAGTTATACTTTACACACTCGTTCACTGTTTATGAGTCCTGTAATAGCAGTGTGAAGCAAAAATCACAAGTGAAAAAAGGAGCTGTAAATGAGTTGTCTTCATTTCATTAAGAAGAGCTGACGTCAATACACTGAGGCTAAATGTTTCTTTGAGTGCTAGACACCTCCATAGCATCCTTATTTTCACCACCACAACAGCTGCAATGACAGCTTTCCTCCTCCAAGTAGCAGTAACCATAGCATCCATCAGCCCAGGCATTATTAGAAGCATTGTGGCAGAAACCCGTCACCACAGCAAGTGGGAGGGCAGGTGAGGGTAACTAAGAGGTTTAGCTTTGAAAAAGTAGCCCAGGTGTAAAACTATAAACAGCATGGCCTTTAACCATAGCCATAAGAAGCTAAACTTGAATCTGGAGAGAATAAAACTTCAATGTGTAAAACATTGCACAGCTAAGACAAAAATGGTTTGATTACTGATTATTGAAAATGGTATGAATCAATATTTTTAGATGCATTTTTAATAAAATGGATTTTTTTTCTAATTGACTTTTTTTTTTAATTAATTTAATAAACTAAATGTAAATTTTGTTTGAAACAGCTTTTTCCCCCACATTTATTTAGCACATTGGCAAGCAATATTGAAGTAAACATCAGTGTTACAGTATTTAGTGTGTCCAAAGTGAGGCCCTTGGGCCATTTGTGGTCCTTGGAAAGTTTTGTGACCCTCTACTAGCTGTTATGGAGATTTGGCAACCCTAAAATGCTACTCTCTGCTGCAGCTGTCTCACAGTAAACACCTAGTCACTGTACATATTAGCATTTTTTTCAAAATAAAATTGAGAAAACTCACAAAGAAAAACTTTCCTTTTTTTCTGATTTTCCACATAAAATAAATAAATAAATATTTTCTGCTTCATGTCTTACCACTCCAATCAGGTCACCACGGCCATACTCTCCTATCAGCTCCTTTTTGCCGTCGTCCTTCCTGATCACCGAGCGTAGTCGACCACTCAGCACTATAAACGTGCTATCTGATTTTTCCCCTTGCCTAGAAAAAGTAAATTAAACAGCTTTAATTTAGTTAAATAAATCTTATTTAGTTGAATATGCTCAATTATTAACGTCCTTTTTTGGGCTGTTGATCTTTGTCCATTTATTAATGTAGACAATGTTCATAAAAATGACAAAGATTTGATGACAAAAACCTGTAAACAGCTCTGCCAGCCTCCACAGCCATCCAATCAAGGGCAAAGTCTATCTGTCTGATAAAAGACGACATCCGCCTGGAGACGGTGTGAGCAACATTCAGAACTACTTTTGGCTCAACACGCATTATCCTAAAGAATTAAAGAAACAGAAATGAAGAAATTAAAGCATGCTATTAAGTTACGATCTTTAACACAAAACGAGAACATGTTAGAATGATCGTAAACAGGACTGACTCGTAGAAGTGGTTTTTGGAAATGGAGAGGAAGCTGCAGTCTCGCTGGGCTCGAACCGTAAATATGAGAGGCTCTCCGGTCAACACAGCGAGTTGACCCACAAGCTCTCCAGGATGCGTCACAAACAAACGAGTTTCTTCTTCACGATCAATCATCCTCTGATAAACATGAAGGAGGCCGGAGATCACAAACTGGATGCTCACTTCCTAGAAAACAAACAGGAACGAGTCAACTGAGGGAAAATTTTAAAGTTTGAGAGTTGGGTGTTTATTTGACAGCAAAAAAAAAAAAAAATCTGCCTGATGCTTGTTTAAGTATCAACTGTATGTTGTCTTCTGCACTTTGAGCAGAAGACAACATGAAAGTATCACAAGGCAGATTGGTAGCACAAATTAATGAATATGTACATACAAATATGTACAAAAAAATCTTGCAAAAAATGGTATGTTACATAAATTTAACACAAAAAAAGAAAAGCAGAATAATTTGTTGCAAGAGTGCTACTTTGAACCAAGTCTTGGAAAGCTTGTTTATGCATTTTAAATGGTGCCACATTGATTAAAAAAAGAAGGGAGGGTAAAGATTTGTTTGAGCAGTAAAGTTGAACATGTGGGCTGTGCCATAAAACAAATAAATACCTTGCAAATCCTTTCTACTTCTGCCAAATAACTTCTTCTGATATTAACTTGTATTTGGTGGAGTTTATTAGGTTGGATGATTGGAGAACGAACAAACGTTTTTTTAATTCAACAAACAGCTCAATTAGTAGTGTGCAGGGCATTTGTACACAACCACAGCAGCCTGGCAATTCCTCCTCATCCTGGTCACCAATCTGATCACACAAAACGCCCAATAAGAACCAGAAACAGGAGGAGTCACAAACTTCAACTGTGCTGCTCAACTTGCAAATATCTCACCTCTCTTAACAAAATCTGTTTTCAGAGGCCTCTTTCACAGTACGAGTTGGTTTATTGTGATATTAAAACTATCTTTACAGTATGTTTTATTATCGCTTTTATTTGGTTTGGTCTGCATAGCACTTTGGTTAAAATAAAGATATTTTTAATATTCTTTATAAATAAAATGGATTTGGATTTAAATCAACCAATGGGATTCTATTTCAAATGCAGCATCATTTAGAGAAAATGTGTCTTTTCAAAAGCTAAGATGTCTTGGCAAACAGCATTGTTAGACATTTTATTACTTCCTGTGATAAGTCTAACTAACAATAACTAAAAACAACTCAGCTAACAGACAATGAACAGAAATTGAGAACAGTCATACAAATTTGTATTAAAAAAAGCTGTGTAAAGGTTTTCTCTAACCTGGTCTCCTTGACGAGCTACAACAGAACCAGCCTTGACATGGTGAAGGGTCACTCTCCCATCAAGTAAACTGGGGTCCTACAAAAAATAAATAAATTAACACCTTCATTACAACAGCATAAAAAAGAAATAATAAAAAAAAAAGAATATTTCATCTCAGAAAGGGCTCATATGAGATTCCCATTTATTGAGATGTATTTGTATTGATACAGTTACCTGCAGCTGGATGACTCCCAGGAAGTCTTTCTTAGCAGCCTGGAGGACAGTGCTGCTTTTACCAATGTTACTGGCATCAGACTGCCCTCCGCTGTCAGTGTAGTGGAACACTTCAGAAGGAGTTTGCTGCATCGTCACATTCTTCTTTAGAGAAAACTACAAAGCCAGACACAAGAAAGTAATTTAAATCAGACAATAACAGCTGTAGAGTTGTGAGGTATAGCAGCTTTCTGGTTAATATCGCACCAAGCTTCTCCTGTCAGAGAAACATTAGCTCAAACATAAATGAGAAGTTAAACCGTAAAGTCTTACTTTCTGAGTAAGAGGACTGGATGGAGCCTCTTCTATTGTGACACGAGCTCTTTCACAAGCCATGTTAAGGTCATTTCCTGTCGTGCAACATACCAAAGAAGATATTTTACAATCACAATTCCTCTGAAAAAGAATGTGAAGGACAGAAAAAAAATAATAAAGTGAGTGACCCACCTCCACAATCAGTGGGTGCAGAGACAGATCGCGACCTCCTACTGCTGTTTAGAGGACTATCCTTAACACCATCTTTAGAAATGGTAAATAGTACGAGTAACAGGTCAAATATGAAAAACTTAAAGCTTAATTTTAAATGTGTGCATGTGTAAGACCATTATACCTGGTTCTGAAGTGGTCTCACTGGTCATAGCTGGACACTCATCCTGGAAATGATAACGACGAGCCGTTTTTCCAGAATTGAACTCAGACATCACACTGTTTATATTGGACAATGGCACAGCCTGACTCTCCTGCCAAAGTAGAGATACAAGAAATAAGTTCAGGTTTTTAATCTTTAGAAGCACAGACAATTGTAAGCTCCAAGAGCAGATTCCATTCACAAATGAGTGCACCTAACATTAAAAAAAAGTGATTTTGAAGAAAATGATTGGGAAGGTTTTTGGCTTTGTGCATACTACAGAAATTATCAGATGGCAATAAAGTCAATAAACCACCAGATTGTCAGTGACACCCATTTTTTGTGAAACAGTTGCATTCATTTTTATTCACATTTTCCTGACCAGGAGGAATGACGAAGTTGTGAAACTGTGCTTAATGATCTGTAAAAGTAGCTTCCCTGTGTGTGATCTAGTGTGCAAATGCTTTTCTAATGTTTGTTATGTGTAATTTGATCAAACGCCAAGCTTAGGTATTCAGCATGAGCCTCTCAGCGTGACTCTGTGTAAATACACAAATATGCGTGCACCAATTAATTTCCCTCCTACCGGATTGAAGAGCTCGGTTGTTAGGCCCAGATAGTTATGCAACGCCAGAAAGGTCACTCTTTGAAGTCGCACCATGATTATCTGCAAATCCAAGTCAAGAATAATTAAACAGAGCAATAAATGTTCTTCACAAGTTTGTAATTACTTCTAATTTATGGAAATTTATTTACATTCCAAATTTATTGTTATACTTTTTATACCTGAATGACACGAACAAGTGTCTCAGGGTATTTCTTAAAAACTGACTCAAAGGCTGAAGCAGATAAGCGCAAGATGGTGGAGCGAGTTGCAGCTCGTGCTGATACAGTCTTATACGGAGCTGGATAACCCTGGAAATAAGAGAGAAGACAAATTCAACTACAACAAAAACTCTGAAGATAGAAGCGAATAACCAACACCTGCTACTTTTCTACTATTTTATGTTTATCATTACTATACACTATTCCATCTCTGGATGTACCTGAATTTTTTCCTGTAGGTCTAATAAAAGCTTATTCTGATACACATCAATGTTAAACGTGAACTACATTTCAAAAACTGCTTATGGAGTGGGTAACTACACAAAAATTGAAATAACTTCTCATGTAATTATATCTATACACAGAGCCATGCAAATATATTAATTCCCCTCAAACGTCTCTTAACGTTACAATCACAAACTTCACTGCATTTTAGTTTTACTGCTGTTTTTTTGTGTTTGCCTATTATATAATATGCACCTGTGAATTAAAAAAATAATAATAATAAATTATAGAAAACTCTTAGGATCAAAGGTTGACCAGGAAAAGGTGGATAACTTCATGAAGGATATGTACTTTTGTCAGGGACAATATTTAAACAGAATATACCATGAAAATGTTTCTTTATGTTTACAGTCATTATATAGTTTCATTATAAAACTGTGAACGCTTATTTTTTGCAGCCTGATTCTCTCATTTTAATATCCATTGTATGTTTTATAGTCTTAAATCTTTATTTTTAAATAGATAATCTGGATATTGAGTTATAATCAAACATTTCATATAATTAGGAGGTGTAAAGTAAACATGTTGAGATAATAAAATGGAAATAAAACTATTCAACTCGATACTTACATTTATTAGTTTACTCAAAGGAATGTGGGTGATTTAATTGAACTGATACAGTCAGATGAGCGCACCAATGAGCACAGAAACCAAACAAACGTAAGATGAGAGAATAAATAAATAAGAGCTCACAGTGATGATGTCCAGAATGCTGAGCAGGCTGTGGACACTGTCTCCAGGGTGAACATCCTTCACTACTGGCTCTGTGCCATCCTTTAAAAGTAAAAGCATCCATAAAACTGAGTATTTGTTCAATGTCTGTTTGAATATGCCATCAAAAAAATTAAAAAACTACATTTCAAAATATCCTATAATTCATATAGTGTATTTAGATGTTACTTTAGTGCCCTCTGCTGTTCATATTTATTAAATGTTCCCAGTCATTTTTAAATTAACATTTAAACACAATATTGCAATCTGACAGTTGTTTGTAGAGCGACATATGTTGCACATAAGAAAACAAATGACTGGACTACTGAAACCCAACTTGAAACCACTTTATCTATGAATATATTTTTTTAAAAAGATCTATTTATAGTTGTTGCTGACATACATTTTCTTGAACACAGAGCTCAAGTCGACCGTCCTGGACCACATATATACTGTCATCGTCATCTCCTGGTCTGAAAAGCACTTCCCCTTCTTGAAGCTCAACAAACACCATGTGGCGGCACAACTCCAGGAACAGAGGTTTCTCAAAGTGACCCAAGACTCTATAAGAAGTTTGACACAACAAATATTATTGTACCGTCTAATAGGGAGACAACATTTTATCAGCAAAGATGTTGAAAAACTGTTTACCTAACATTTTTTAGCATATAGAGAACCTCTGAAGGAAGATTTGAACTCTGCACATCAAACTCTGTTAGATCAGCCTCGAGCAAAGATGGAGGAGGTTCCTTATGCTGCAGAGTGGGTGGGTCTTTACGGATCCTCAAGATTCTGTTAGAACAGAGAAACTGATTTAAGAGCGAGAACTGAAATGTTATTTCCACTGTAAATAACGTAAAAATGTCACGAACCTGCGAGCTATGCTCAGAACTTTGGTTCTTTTGCGTATGCGCTGTGGTTGCTTTGACACTGAGGATAAGGAGGGGGGAGGAGTAGAGGACAGTGTTTGAACCTTGAGCAGAGAAGACAAAGGGAACACATTCAAGTTTGTTGTTCTTTGAGGCATACACCAAATTACTGAAAAGCTTGAAAAATGAATTGTCTAAATATAGAGATCAAAATTTGGTTTTCTTTTGGCTTACATTGCTTCTCTATTTCTACAGTGACCCACTCGCTGTGTCACACAAACACCGGGTTCACAGTGACATGTACAGTAATTAAATTAAGAAGAAAAAAAATTGAAAAGTAACCCAAGACCTAAGTCAATTAGAAAACCATAATCTAGCAAAATGTAAATATCTGTTTTCAGACATGCCAACAAAAATGTAAATAGAAAAAAAAACCTTTCGCATTATCTTCCTTCCATAGAAAAGCACTTTATCTCGTTTTCGGAAACGATACTGGGGCACACCAGGCTGCTGCTCACCTTTGTGAAAACGTAAAATGGAGATACGATTACATTACAGCTCCTTTTGTGGGGGATATAAAATCAAATATTTATTTGAACAATACGTAATTTAGGATGAGTTTGGAAGACTTACGAGCAAGCTTGATTTTTCTGTAATAGAAGAGCACCACAATCCCAATCAGTACCACAGCGACTGCTGCTCCGATCAGTACACCTGTTAGCTGGACGTACAGAAGAAATGATGCAATAAATAATCCAAGCTAACAATAAGATTTTAAATCAGTAAGGTTAGATTAAACACTGGTTGATTCTTTACCGGTGTAAACATCAAGACCACAGAAAATAAAGCAATAAGTTGGCATTTTAGGCACAGCGGTTCTGGCATGCACAGAACAAGCGAAATAAGAAGCAAACTGCAATGAAAAATGTTATCAGTTAACTATTATTCAGTAATTCTTACCATCGTGGTTTGCATCCTCTCTTCCACAAATTGTTGAACTCGTGCCTTCAGAGCACTCCTGCTGCCAGTCAGCATCTAGACATATTTTATATTAGCACTAGTTTGTATATCCAATTAATTAAAAAAATAATAAAAAATACACATTGACTAAAGAGCTCAATGAATGTCCCTTCCGTCACAGGTATCAAAAGAAGTTGTGCTTTATGCATACCGAACTGGACCATTGGCACAGCTCCCTGTCATCTGCAGCACAGTCCATCCTGCGTAACAAGAATCCCAGTAAACGATTAGCCTCACACTTAAATAAAATGTGACCTACAAAAAGAAAGGATATCAGCGTTTTAAAAAGAGAAGTCCCATGTTGTGGAGGTTTCTCTGTGTTCTGGAGAAACAGAAAGAAATAATTGAAAAGAGGAAGCTGTATTTGAATGTTAGCCTCATTCGGTAAACCCCTCCAGCTTCATGAAATAAGTATACGATATGCTCGTGTAATTAGGCAAACAAAGCGAGTGTCAAGCTGATGATTTTCCGACGTGGTCAGAATAAAAAAAATACTATTAGCTTGGGTTATCATTAGCTAGCAGCTGCCTAAACAGGGTTTACCGTCTTGCTAGTGAAACAAAATAACCAAATTCAACAGCTAATTTAACCATTACAATTATCCGAGAAAAACAGGAGTAACGACGCTTACTTTTATGGGATTTTCGAAGTGCTGCCTCCCATTATTTACATCGCTGAACAGACAAATTTGTTAGCAACGCGCTAACAAAGTTTTCTTTATGCTGTCAGCTGCCTTGACCCTCCCCTTTCTGCTGTTGCCTTGGTTTCGTTGAGACAGGTATCCAATCAGAACGAAGCATGTTTCACTATCGTTAAAATGGATTCATTCTAATTTTACAAGATATTTTAAAATTAAGCAAGGTGTATTTTCACTTTTATTTGAACTAGAGCTAAATACTTTGGCTCTTAAGTGAACACTTACTACTGACTTTTAGGATGTTGTCTTTTACTACAGCTGCAGTTTTACTCCATTGCAAACAGAGCTCCAGCAAACCCCTTAGAAATTAATCAAAATAAACATTCCATATTTTGTTTCATTGAAAAAAATGTATGTGTCGTACCTTGCAAAGATATTTGTATTCCTTGAAATTCTTCCCGTTTTCTTAGCTTACAATTATGAACTTCGGTGTATTTTATTTATTTATATGGAAAATAAATAATTAAATGGAAAAATAATATTTAAAACATCTGAAAGGTCTGATGCGCAAGCCGCAGGCCCACTTAAATAATAGAGCACAAGAAGTGACTGTGAACATCAATTCAAGTCTTGGTAAAGATTCTCCATTGGATTTTAGAAACATCATTTTGCTATCAGTTGCATGACATGATCATTTATGGTAAAGTTATATTCCAATATGTCATGTAATAATCAAAGTAAGCTTGAATGCTATGGAACATTGAACTGGTAATGCAAACAATAGACATGCATACATTTGCATCATTTTTATGAATTTGGAGATCAAACATTAACTTGACAGTCATTTAATATATTCCAAAAAAGTATTCTTAGATTTTTGGGGGGGCCACACAACATTCAACAAATGAATCTATCAACACCATGATTTCTTTATAAAATGCAGCCAAAAATACAGTATTTTTTATGTTACCACACTTCATTCAATTACAGATTATGTCATAAGTAAACATAGCTTACAGACTACACTGAAATACAGAACTGACTCATTTTTTTTTTTTTTGTGAGTTTTTAATTGAATGTAAAATACTGATTTATGAAACACAGCAACAATATTCCTGTCAACCATCAGGCTTTGGCATGTACATTTAAAGATGCATAAAGCAATCCTGCACCTTATTAAGACTGAAGAAGACCAAATAGCACAGCACTTTCAAAATGTACAAAATCTTTTATATTTGCAGTAACCTGTTAAATATGCACATGTAAACCTTGTATTGCAGATATCTTTTTGATGTGAAAATGCATTGTTATGAAACAGTTTTGCTTCTTCGTTACTGACAATGGAGGCCATTTTACAGAATCATGCTGGTACCAGTTACAAGAGAGATCCTATTCAAGCACACGTACAACTTAGCAAGTTATTTACATACAGATAAACCTGTCAGCACAAAGGATAAACGAGAGTTTCAACTAAAGCAGATAAATACTAAAAACAAAACAACCCTAGTAGTTTGTCATTCCCCCTTGTTCTATTTGGTCAGGTACTTGGCCACAGATTTGTAGGCAATGAGGATCTCTGAGTCATTTGGGCAGGTGTAGCGAAACTGTTCTTGTTTGTAGGCGTTATCCAGGTAACGTGTCAGTCCTTTCAGCTCCCTGGGGATGTCAAAGTTACGGTACTCCTTACACACCACCTAATGGGAGAACCATGAGAAAAGAGTTACTGTGGTGATACTTTTTTTCTTTTTTTTTTACAAACAATGTGAGTTCTTTTCACCTTTATGATGTTGAGTTTGGGAAGCAAGTTGCAGTCTGCCAAGGTGAAGGAGTCACCATCGAGGTAGAGGCGTGTAGACTCTGAGATATTTGGGTTCTGATCCAGTTCGTGAGGGAGTGGAGTTTCAAGGTACATGCTCATCTTAAGCAGCGTTGACAGAAACTGTTTCTCAAGCACTGGAAGACAAGAAACAGACCTTCGTAAAATTTTTCTGAAACTTTGCAACCAGGAGGCCATTTGTTTGAGAATGTAAGTTAGAACATCTGGGAATTTTTCTTACTGCTATTTAGCCCAGGATTGGGATTTTTAATGTACGCTGAAAATTTTCTGAAGATGTCCTGTCCAGAGGTGTTGGACTCTTTGTAGCGGCAGCTGAGTTTTGGGTAGCTGTAATTTTTACAAAGTATGGTTGCGAGGTTTGATAGTTACTTAATATTATCATAAAAAAATATCAATTATAGATCACTCTACTTACGTCGGTGGGGCAAGTTTCTCCTCCAGGAACTCCTCAATCTTGTTAGTGTCTGTTTTGACTTCATCGTTGTAGAGGAGGAAAGGAGGCTGAGATCCAGGAGCCAAATCTTTTAGCACATCAGGTGCCCTGCCAAGGGACAAGAACCAGAAAAGAATTAGCAATACAGCTAAAAACTGGAATATACCTAAATTTACTTAAGAAAATTACCTGAACAAAACTTGCATTTTATGACATAAAAACTGAAAAGTCAAAAATCAAATGATACATGACCACCATTGCATTTACTCACAATGGAGTAATTACTCACAATGGAGTAATTACTCACAATGGAGCATTTACTCACAATGGAGTAAATGGAAAAATAATATTTGCATTTACTCACAATGGAGTAAATGCAATGAATAACCGATGTTGCCTTTCAGTTACCAGAACTCTAAGCTGTGTTGGACATCAGACCATAGATAATAGCGTTCTAGTCAAGAAGTCAGAATTTCAGTATGGCAAAGGTAATCTATTGGCTTACTCTGCTGAACATAACTTTATTTTCGCACAGTTGGGTAGTTGTGCAAAGTGTCTCAATCAGAAGTGTCAAACTGAAGTCATGTGAGGGCCAGGACCCCAGAACCAATCCACCTTAATAAAATGGCTAAATTGCTTCTTGATCAAACAGTCAAATTCTACACAGAATATATCTTATGACCTAAGGATTAGATCAAAATGTGTTTCAGCAAAGAGACACACCCACAAGCTTTGGGATCATGCCCTTGAGGACTGAAGTTTTACAATTTTGGCCTAAATTGTTCCAAGTTTGCAAAGTTCATACATGTTTTTAAGAAAAAAGCTTGTGAGGACTGCCAATTTTTGCTACTTTTCCATCCTTTGTAGCAGCTTGCTTTGCTTCTTGCTTATGCTATCTTACACCTAAATAGGATTAGCAGATTAATATTTAGTCTCTGGCTATTTTACAATATATTTTCCCTTCTATTAACAATATCAAATCAATGTTAGGCTTTTGACTCCCTGGAAACATTTGTAGTTTATTGGGTTTTAAGGCAGCTTTCTCTCAGTCATCATCCTCAGAAATATTTCTCTGGGGCTACTTGACCTTAATGCAGCCATCTGGGGTTCAATTCTGAACCATGGGACATTTATTTTATTCATGTCTCTCTGCCTATTTCCTATCTAAATACCTCAAGTAATGGTGCCATGACAAATCTTAAAAAAAAAAAAGAAAGAAATATTTTTTTAAAATGCACCACAAAGAGAGATTATGTATTATGTATTATGTATGTAGTGTTTTCAGTGACATCCCTGAGAAATAATTTTGTGTGATGTCAGTCAGGTGGCGACTCCAGCACACCCCAAGCAAAAAATGAGCATAGCTGACCTTACCTCCTCATGTCAACAGTGGTCAGGGTGAAATTGATCCCCTTCAGCCAAAGGATCATGAAGAGCCTCTGACAGAAAGGGCAGTTTCCAACACTTTCAGCATCATCGCTGGCCTGCACACAGACAGAAAACCATAACTAGATCTCATGGAGATGTGAAGGGTGTGCCCTAAAATGACAGGATGACTGATATATTTTAGCATTCTGCAACATGGATACCAAAGCCAGATCTGTAAATTGTCTGAATAAATTGCAATAAATCATCAACACTGATCTCCTCTGACAGACTGAGACAGCTATGGAGAATTAGGGCTTCTGATACCCTACATTAAACAATTAGTTGCTTGCGTTAAACTTGTTATCTCAGCTGTAGCTACAGCGACATATCTGAATCCAATCAATTAACTAACTTCCTCGAAATGGGTAAAAAATCTCTTTGAGATCTTGCCTTCAATGACAAAGTCAGCTTCCTTGACTAAAAATGATTGACTTGGCATAAGACCTATTGGCTTGTTAAGTTGACAAAAAGTTTGCAGTTTCTAAAAGGAAAAAAAAATCTTTCATGCCAACAGTCTTCAGCAGACTAAGTTACAATATTTCGACCTTGTGTGTGAGTAAAAGCAGTAGGATAATATAAGTTTCTTGATCTTACCTTCACGAAGAGCTCAATCTTTGGAGTCTCAGCCATTTTTCTTTCTTTTTGTCTGATAGAGTCCACTACTGCTTTTTCACAATGGCTTGTTTCTGTTCACGCAAAGATAAGGCAAAACTGATTGTAAAGATGTGGCAATCCTTCGGCTGACACATGCGCTCTCATGTACTTTCACGGTTCTTGAAAAACTGGTAGTAAGGTGAATTCAGGTAAGTTGTTCCTACACAGCCTGTGAAAAGTACAAAAACATTACTTTAAACTCACTTTACCGGTATTATGTGTCGACTCTTCACCTCCTCTTTCCAGTGTTCACTGCACCTGTTGCTGTTATTGTTATTATTTTCTTTCTCATCTAACCACACCCCTAAAACTTTAAGTCAGACTACGCCGCCCTCTGGTTTTACCAGTTGGACCAGCATATCTGGATCTGTTGAAGCTGCCTTGCAGCACACAATCTGGAAACAAATCAGTGTTGTTTCCATATTGTCTTAAAACATTGGTTTCTGACTTTTTAAGTGTCTTTAGTCCCAACATGACTGCCAATCAGAAGACCTAAAAGATCTGCTTCAAGTGTCATGGTACCACTGCATGTTAATGAACTTGAAATGTAGAACTCCTTTTGGTAGTTTGAGGGGTCCAGATGTAATAGTGATACAGATTTGGAGGCCAAAATGTGCCTGGACACTAAAGTAGCTTCCAAAGTCGCTTCATTCCTGATGAGCTTTTTCAAATGTAGCTGAGTTACAACCAAGTTAAAACGCCAGAGATACTTTTGTGATACTCCAAAATAATATGTAAAT